AAAATCCGTCTTCTAGCTTTTGTTCAAGAATTCAAGACTGTAGCACTTTACTCTGTTTGTCTTCTAGTGCTTGTTTAGGAATTCTGGGCAGGCTTTTTAATTTTAGAGGCCCAGACTTTGTCTTCGAGCAATTTGTTCTTGAATCAGCATAATTATCTTCAATCTAGCCGTTGAAAATCAAGAGATTGATTTTTCCTTGCCAACGGTTAGATTTTTTTTCATTCAGGACTTAGATAAATTTTCTAAGTGTTTTCTCACTTGTCCGCTTTCTGAGAATTCCGGTCTTCAGTGAGTCTTCCGATTCTTAGCTGACAAATCCGGATGAGTCATTTTCAGACTTCCAGATGAGAAAGAGATCCGCGCTAGTCTTCCGATTTGGATGACTTAGCCTTCAGCGGGTTGTAGCGAGACATCCGGTTCTTATGTAGTCTTCCGGATCTGAGAATTTTCATCTGATTGAGAAATCCTTACTTGTTTCTGATACTTCCGATCAAGATATCCAATTTTCATATCACTGAATTTGATTAAGTCTTCAGGCATCAAAATGCTTAAAGAGATATCACAGTTTTATTGGAAATCTCAAGAGCTCGGTTTTGACAATATTTCTAAAAGGAAAAATTACATTGAATATTGGGGGAGGCTTAAAGTCCGTAATACATTCTAAATACATCATCATCAAAATCTATAATATTTTTCCCAACATTACTTATCGCATCAAAATTATTAATACGGTAAAGTGAGGAATAAAGAGATGAATAATTTTCTTGATAATCAAAGTTATTGTAATTATCCTCCTCTTCAGGATTATTTTCATTGAAAAATCTAGGGGGATTATTACAATAATTTTGATTATCATTAAAATCACAATAATTATTTTGATAATTTGGTAAATGATCAAAATTATTAAAACTTCTCCCATGATCATAATCATCAAAATAATTATTATTCATAAGAGAATTGTAATACCAATTGTTTTCAAAATCTTGATCATTACCAAAATTATCTTGAAAATTTTGTGAACAACAAAAATTACCATTATCATAATTATTCCACCTATTACCATTAAATTGATAATCATTTTCAATCATAGGTGGATTTTCATAAAAACTATTTTTATAATGGTAATGTTCGTTATAATCATTAGAAAAATTATTTTCACAATATGGGTATGGCGGGCAATCATTAAAATGGGAATTATAAAAATTATTAAAACGATTCATAAAAATGTAAATAAGAAAAAAAACAAAAAAACAAGAAATAAAAGGAGTAGACTAAAAATTTGCCTATTAAAATATAAAAACTAACTAAACCGTGCCACTCCCTGGCAACGGCGCCATTTGACGAACTACGTATAGCAGTAAGTCAACAAATAACCGAGTTAGACTCGAGTCGTTCTCTCCAGGAGTGACGAAGGGAATAGTTAGTTTTATTATTTATCACAAGTAAATTTATATTCTAAGAAACGTGAAATAATAAGAAATAAAGCGTCTAAAATAACTTGAGGAGTTAAGATCGGAACGCGGACTTAACACAATTTAACTCATCTTTTATTAACAATTGGACTAATGAAATGTGTAGCACTTATATTTAATATATCTCCTATTTCTAGGTCTCAATATAAAACATAAATGCTAATCTTATATTTAATACATCTCCTATTTCTAGGTCTCAGTATTAATTATAAGATTATTATATTTCCAGTGCATCTCCTATTTCTAGATCTCAGTACTGTGCTAGGAAATGTTCGACTTAAATAATTCTAAATCCTCATAGACAAGGCAAGAACTATTTTCCAATTACTTAATTAATAAAACGTTTAATATTATTAATTAGTTAAAACCATTCCAAACGGTTATTTCTAACCCTTCCTATTTCTAGGTGTTCGGAATGTGTAGCTTAATTAACCTTTTTACCTCATAGACAAAGTAAAAGATTAATTTCCAAAGATTAATTAATAATAAAAAGCATTTTATTAATTAATAAGGATTAATTCTTTATTAATCTAATTACTAATAAATAGATGAAATCAAAATGGTTAAATCTTTATTCCGAATCCTAACCCATATATATATTTACCAATTCATAATCATCATAATAATATATAAAATTTTCAAAGACATATCAACAATCATGTAACACCCTAATCCGTCCAGGTCTGCAGCCCCTTTCGGACTAAAGTATTTAACTTGGTAATCGTAAAAATTTAAAACTTTTCAAACACACTTTATTAATCCCAATAATATTTTTCATAACATATACAGTACGGAGTATTCAACATTACTGCGGAAGCAAATTTAATATTGACATATTATAGATCATTTCAAACTTGTCACATCCATCCCGACAATCTCGCCCCATCAACCGCCAGGATCACATTGTTCTTTCGGTTTACCTGCGTGTAGCAAATAAAACACACTACACGCTCAGCGGTAAAGCTGAGTAAGCATATCTAATACGTCGAACATCCATATAAACTGAATCTAAATTCATAATCAAATCATTTGATATCATGCACACAATGTTCATTTCAGACATTCAAAGTTTTGGTATTCTTCAGTTCATATGAATACATTTTATTCAATTCAGATACTATTTCAATAGTGCTCTTAAATTATTCTTAATCTAAGGCCAGATTATAACAATGCTCTTAGTTATTCTTAGTCTAAGGCCAGATCATAATAATGCTCTTAGCTATTCTTAGTCTAAGGCTAGATCATAATTTCTATAACCAGATTCTTAAAAGGCAATCATTAATCAGACACTTAAACTATCATTAGTTTAAGGCAATTGATTTCGGACACTTAACTGCAGTTAGTTAAGGCAATCAGACACTTAAACTATCACTAGTTTAAGGCAAATGATTCGGACACTTAACTGTAGTCAGTTAGGGCAACAACAATATAGCGATTGATCAACATTAGATCGGGCATTCCCAAACGAGTGATCCTCTAGTTTGGTCTATGAATCCCATTTATGCGTTTTTATCTAATTCATCAAATGTTCATGTTTTCATAAGCATGTTCTAATACAAGATCTATTCTAGAGGTCTTCTAGATAGCCTTAACATCAATTAACTAATAGGTATATCTTAGAGTTCTTCTAGATACCGTTTAACAATACAAATCGTTTAATAATTATCAATATATTCATTACTCTCATGGGTGAATCATCAATAATCATTTTGATCAGTTAGTTCATTATTCATGATCATCCATAATAATCATTCATCATAATCATTAATCAACATAACAATTGATAACAAATAGCGGTCTAGTTTTGAGTGTTAACACTCTAACTTTCCGTCATGCATCACATAATGTTTTATATGCCTAAAACATCATTTTTATTATATAAAATCATATTTGTATTGTTCATAATTAATTGTTATCAAAAATAGGATTTTAGAGCATATTTTCAGGAATATTTTCGTAGCAGGATCTGGAATTGCGGAAAATAATTTAAAATAATCATTTAATTTATAAAAATTGATTTATATAATTTTAAATAATCCATTAATTCATAATAATCTATTTTTACAATTTAAATAATCAATTAATTCATAATAATCGATTTTTACAATTTAAATAATCAATTAATTAATTTTAATCGATTTTTACAATATAAATAATCGATTAATTCATAAAAAATCGATTTTTATAATTTAAATAATCCATTAATTCATAATAATCGATTTTTACAATTTAAATAATCAATTAATTCATAATAATCGATTTTTACAATTTAAATAATCAATTAATTAATTTTAATCGATTTTTACAATATAAATAATCGATTAATTCATAAAAAATCGATTTTTATAATTTAAATAATCCATTAATTCATAATAATCTATTTTTACAATTTAAATAATCAATTAATTCATAATAATCGATTTTTACAATATAAATAATCAATTAATTCATAATAATCGATTTTTACAACATAAATAATCGATTAAATGGTACTGACTTCGAACCACTGATCTGAATAAAGTTTTAATCGATTTTTAGTAAGTAAATAATCGATTTTCGGCCATTGTTCATCATCTTCTTCCTCGGGTCAGTTTTAACATTATCATTTTTAATCACCAAACTTCAATTTAATTATATAAAAATGTTCTCCAATGTTCACAGATCATTTTAGAGTCATTAATTCGTAATTTTAACAACAATTTAATTGTTTATGATTCTTGGTTCTTCAAACATGTCAAACACAAAACTCAACCAAACGACCGTTTATGAACGTAGAAACAATCTATATGAACATTCTAGNTTCCGGCGATGATTACTCCCCACTCCGGCGACTTCGGCGGCAACCAACAACACCAGACTGCTCCCTTCACTCTTATGAACACAATGGTATAATTTTCCAGAACATTGGTGCCAAATTGATAAGGATGGAGTATCCTTATATAGAAGAAGAGAAGGGGAAGAAGACATTGGTAGCTGACTCATTTCTACGTAGAAATTCCTTAGTGCGCAGGACGGCGATTCTAATTGATCTACATGCCGTTCCCTGATTGGGACCAATTTGGTTCGAGTCAGGGTACGCTTTTTGGTCCAACTTTCTCCGAATTGAATTCTGTTTGCACCGTTGCGGTCAGACAGTTAAACTCTATGCATAAATATAATTTTTATATTTATTTGTAACACTTTTTCCGACATCATATTTTTGGGTGGTTGACTTTGACAGAGTCGAAATTGATTTAATTGACTTTTATTCAAAAAGGTTCTCACATTTAATTCATATTATTTATTTCTATGATTTATTTCAAAATATCATTTCAAAGTTCACATTATAAACAATTTCTTCATTTATTCTTAATTTGGGTCTGTACTCAGGTTTGCAATCAAGACCACACAAAAAGTCTATATATTGGATTTATCTCTATGAGATTTATCCAGAGTGTGATAATAGATATCAAAACATATTTCGTATCGGCCCAAAGCTCAACAAGAATTTATTTTAATCAAAACAAATTTGTTTATTCGAATAATTATTTAATAATAATTTTAGAGTATGTTTCGGGGCGTTACAGATCAACAAAATAATAATTTACTCATAAAAAGTTTAATAAAGTTTACAATAAAAAGAAGAGTAAAACTTACAGTGCTTCGAATTTGAGAATTAACTTTAGATGATGAAATTTAACCAAAGGAAATTTAGTACAATAATTAAAAGTAAAAAAAGGGATTTTTACCCCAAAAAGTGGAAAAACCAAAAATTGGATCTAATTGGAAAAGGGAGGAATCGCCGGGCTTTTTAAGGAGGAGGTCGACAGATAAGCGGGCAAACCGGCAGCCGCTGGCAAGCCCGCCGCCGCGCCGCTGGTCGTCATCAACAGGCGGGCAAGCAGGCGGTCGCCTGCCAGCCCGCCGGTGCTCTCAATCCTCGCCGGATCTGGTTTTTTCTGCTGCCGCCATCTTGACCGGGCGGCCAGGCAGGCGGTCGCTGTCCAGGTCGCCTACTCTCCCGTTCCGGTCCGCCGATGCTATCCTGCTTAAAATTTTGTTCTGAACATTTTTTCCTTCTGCACCGACTTCTAATTCCGCACCGTTTGTGAGATAAAATTATTTTTCTATTCAAAATTTACACTTTTTACTCCATTTTGGTCCAGTTTTACATATTAATTCAAAATTCTTCTTTTTATGATCTATTCATCAAAACATATATTTTTGACCAAAAAGATTAAAGAATTTATTGTTTTGATAACAAAAATGGTACAAGAACGAATTAAATATGAGTAAAAGGATAAGTACGATACGGTCTTATCATCTACCTAGCCAAGTCCCTACCAGCATAGTCGTACAGAAGGTGGAACCAACTGAGGGACCTTACTCAGAACCACCTATGCTTATTCAAGAAAAGAAGGAGGAGGAAATTTTGCCTATGGCATTAAACGACCATATCCTTAATTGTGTTGAAGACACACCTCCAGAGGAACCTGTTCTGGAGGAGATAGAGTCCACTACCTACCCCCAAGATTCCAATGTTCAAGAGTCTGAGGAGGAATCTATAGACGAAGAAATACCTAGCATAGAGGAACCAATAACGTCTATAGATAATCATGCTTCATCAGAAGACTTAGACCAGACTTTCTTTGACTCCCTACTTGACGGGTGTGACTTTGTCTGCCTGAAGGATAGTTGGAGCCAAAAGAGTTAGGATGAACTTCTGGTAAGTGACACTGAAGACTCATCCATGGGGGAAAGCATGGTCGTAATCATCAAACCAAAAATGGATGGTCAGCTTGTTGAGGATAAGGAAAAAATCAATCTCGCTATGAAGGCCAATGATGTGGATCAATTGAGGAGACTTCCACCACCACCCACCTATCTAGGGTCTCCTCCTTTTATCTTGTTGCCGCCAAGCCGCAGGGACGAGTCAAGGATCCTGGACCTTGATTGAGCAACAAATCAAACAAGGTGGCACCAGAAGAGAGTTAGAAGGGCCAAACTTTATGACTCTCGGATCGGAAAGTCACGGAAGAAGTGGATGAGTAATAATAGAAATATTATTATTCCAATTGTTAATTTAATATGATAGAATAGATCCAAATGATGTCGAGACCCTAGGTCCAGATCTATACTTATACTATGTGACCTTTATTTATTATTTTTACTCTGCTCTTTTTACAATTGTCTCGAGAAGACTTTCATAAACCAGTCCTAACCTTCGCCTAGTTAGAGTAATTAAACTAATTCCCTTCGTCCACTCCTCGAGAGATACGACACTCGGAGAGAAAATTAACCCTTTACTGGGAAGGTTTACTACCCGAAAAACTACGACTATCAAAACTCCTCTCCAAAACTACATGGCCCAATATCATTTAACACCACCAAGGAACCCGGTTGGGTTTCCACATTGCCTCTCTAGAGGGAGGCATTATTTTTCCTCTTCGCCCCCTCCTTATTGAAATCTGTAATAAGTTTTATATTCTTTCTGGTCAACTTACTCCCAATGCTCACCGGTTCCTAAATTGTTTTGTAAATATTTGTGAAAATCTAAAAATCAAACCCTCCCTCGAACCCTTTCTTCACATGTACGAGGTCTTTCCCGGGACTAGTAACTGCCCGGGCTTCATTTACTTCCTTTCCTACAACAAACGGGGGTTTGTGACCGGTCTTCCTCCTAGCCATAAGAAATGGAAATGAAGATTCATTTTCATTGAATTTCCCTCTGACGAATTTCCCTTCACTAACCCCGAGTGGGCTGACCGGGTTATAAAACCTGAAAGGGTTCACCCAGAGCCTACCCCTGAGCTCGAGGGCGCCTGCGAGAAACTTCTCAAGAATGACCCTGTGACCGAGAAGCCTTACGCCTACGGAGGCTGGGTGTACCTGTTACAAAATCCGGATGGGAATGTATCTGCTACCCATGACGCAGAAGATGACCGGGCCAACTCCCTGGATGGTCATGCCGAGGGGAGTTCTCCTCATCCAGGTGAGTCACCTTTCTTAACTTCCATTTTTCTTTTTATAGAGAATATTTTGTTTTGTTCTTGCTGGTAGACATGAACTTCACCTGGTTTGTCAACCTCGACGACGATGATGATGATGTCCTCCATGGTGGCCAGTCCCCTACCAACAACCCTCCTTCTCCTCCTCAAAATCCTGGGATGGAAGGGGATTCAACTGCCCGGTGCACTTCCCTTGACGATCTCATCCGATATAAGAAAGTGAAGTCCCCTTCGGCCACCCATCTCTTCGAGGATGACCGGGTTGACTCTCTCCAGGCCCAGGTCGAATCCAAGTCTAAAGAGGCCAGCCATTCTTCTTCCCGCGCTAAGGGCCACAAAAGGAAAGGGTCCCAAAAGAGCTCCAAGGGGACCAGGAAGAAGAAGGTCAAGTTATCAGATCTGGAGGGGGAGTCCATCGAAGAAACCTTTCTAGCCTTGGCCAAAAAACTTAGCAAGGTATTACATCTCTGATTTTCCTCCCGGTTTAATAATTTCCTTTGCTTTTATGGATACATCTTTCTTTTTGGATCTCCAGGTTGGGTTATCTCAGAGGAAGTTGGCCGGTCACTCCTGGAGTCAAAAGACCAGGTCTCCGAACTCACTCTCCTTCTTGACTCTGCCAAGTTGGATATTAGTAACCGGGCTGGGAGGGAGAAAAGGTTGGAGGAAGAGCAGATGGCGAAAAGAGCTAGGCTCGAGGAGGAGAGGGCCAGGTTTTCCCTTCTGGGGGAGGATGGGAAGAGAAAGATCGCCGAGCTCGAGGATGCGCTAGGCCAAGCTTAGGAATCTGCCCGGGCAAAGGAGCAATCCTTTCCTGATGACGCTGCAACTTGGGCCGCCTGCCACCACACTGAAGTTTCCCGGTCCATTCTCACCAAATCGGAGGACACCATGGACTTTTTCAAAGTCATGTATAAGGAACCAGAAAGAAAGAGAATGATAACAGACATTGGGTCTTACGGGTTCAAGTGTGGCCAAAAGGAAGAGAGGTCTCTTCTCTATGCCAGACTTCAGAAAAGGGACCCCTCCTTTGACCCGGCCAAGATGAAGCTTCCGGCTTCATATAAGGAAGAACCAGTTCCTCCTTTCCCCTAGCGTAGATTAGGGTTTGATGTAAAAAACTTTGAATTTTCCCAAGGCCTGGGGGATGTCCGGCCTACTTTTAACTTGTATGATACTTAAATTTTCTTGGCATGCCTTTAACTTTTAACGGTCATCTTTGCTTCAAGTTGCATGGTTCAACTTCTTTTCTTGCATGGTTATTGTCTCTTGCATGATTATTTTCCATGCCCGGTCACCTTTTGAAGTTGCTTGGTTATACTTGCCTTTTCTTGAACATGCTTCATTTAACTTCCAAGTCAAAAACAATAACCGGTCTGATACCTTAGGAATTGTCCAGGTCATCTCATGTCCTGGTCTTTGGAACATCCAGGTCTAATTGGCTTGCTTGACAATTTTCTAGGTCTGGTAGGCTTTGTTGAAAGTGTCTCCAGGTTTGGTAGAAGTAACCGGTATATGTATGGTTAGATAACGTCTTGAAAATGTCTAGGTCTGGTAGGCTTTGTTGAAAGCGTCCAGGTCTTGTAATCTTGAAAACATCCAGGTCTTTTCATGTCCTGGTCAATTTCATCTCTTGAAAATGTCTAGGCCAGGTCTTGCAATCTCGAAAACGTCCACGTCATCTCATGTCCTCGTCAAATACAAGTATTGAAAACATCCAGGTCACTTTCAGGTTGAAATGTAACAAATGTCCAGGTTGAGTTTGTCCTGGTCCACTTCCAATGGTTTGGTTGAGCTACGTAACCAATATTGCCCCAAATTTCTATCCAGGTGCCGGATAAAAAATGTGACTGGTCAAAATAAAAAGTTTTCCAGATTTGTCTGATTTCCTCGAATCCAACCCTTTAAAAACTGACCGGTCACTTTTATCAAAGTGGACCGGTCAAACTTTAAATTTTGTCATTCGCCTTTTCTTGCCAATCAAGAATATTAAAAAGTGATCAGTCACTTTTTTAACCATACCCTTTTTCTTATATCCCTCTGGCCTGAACGTCATGCTCAACAACTACCTTGATCAAATTTCAAACGAACATTTCGAAAGGGTTTTCGTATTAACTCTCAACATCAAGACCCGATCTTTGTTCGGAGATTTTGACCATGTCCTATGATCGCGAACCCTCTCCAAGGTTCAGCTCTCTTCCAGGCAACACCCTTCTTCCAAGGCCCCTCTTCGAGGTTTTATGTCTTTTAATGTGTCATTCTCTAATCATTAGGTTGACCTAGCAAACTCAATCTTCCCTCGTGGAGGTATGCTGGTGAGAACCAGCCCTCATCCAATCCTACATGTCCATATGTTATGTGTTTGAAGTGAATTCTAGTCTTCCCTAGACCCTTCAATCTGCAAAGGATGGCTCATGCAAGATGGTAAACGATTTTTATTTCGGCATGTCTTTGCCCCTATCCCAACAAAAATTTAGTAGGGATCCATGTAAGTATGGACGCGAGTCCTCTTCCAGACCCAACCTATCTCAAGGCCATACCTCAACATCAAGGCCCCTATCTCAAGGGTCTATTTTTTTTTTGACATTGCCTCTTACATCAAGACAAGTTAATTCATTACTATTGACCCAGCAACACAAGTATTGTTGGAGAAATCTTTTATTCATCATCAAAAAAGTAATACAAGTACATGTCCTGCCAATTTTGGTCTATCGGTAGAATTTCCTAAGGTGGTGGGAATTCCAGCACCTTTGTAACTCCCGACCTTCCATTGTTTCTAACTTGTATGTCCCAGGGTGCAATATTGTCGTGACCCAATATGGACCTTCCCATTTCATGGCAAGCTTTCCACCATCTCCTAGTTTGCTGGCCTCCCTTCGTCTTAGGACCTCATCACCCACATGGAAATACCGAGGCCCTACTCTATTATCATGGTAGGCCTTGGCTCCTTGCTGGTACTCTATCATTTTAGCCTTAGCGACCATCCGCCTTCTTCTAGTAGGTTCAACTCTGCCAAATGGTCCTCCTCATTCCCTTTTTCTCTTCGCAGATCTTTACCCGGAAGGTCATTATTTTGGCTTCGATTGGCAGTATAGCCTCACACCCGTATGTAAGGATGAAAGGTGTCTCCCATGTAGCCCTTCTCGAAGTGACCCCGTATGCTCATATCATATGCGGCAACTCCTCTAACCAATTTGTTCCTTCCTCACCCAACCGCTTTTTGATGCCATCAACTATCGTGCAGTTCGCATTTTCCACCTGACCATTCCCTTGCGGGTAGGCCACGGAAGCCTTGTTGTGAGTAATCCCAAAGTCCTCCAAGTATTTGGTGAACCTTGGATTCCGAAATTGAGGCCTGTTATCTGTCACGATGTTCCGCGGAGACCCAAACCTGGTGATGATGTTCTTCCAAATGAAGCGCAGGCATTGCTTGGTCGTAATGGTTGCATATGCCTCGGCCTCTACCCACTTTGTGAAGTAGTCGATTGCAACCATTACATACTTCTTCCTCCCTTGAGCTTGAGGGAAGGCTCCAATGATGTCCATCCCAAACCTTGCGAACGGAATAACATTGGAAGCTTGATGGTGGTATGTTGCAGGCCTTCCCAGAAACTTGTAGAACACCTGGCAAGTCTTGCACCTTTGCACATACTTCTCACAATCTTGGTTCATTGTAGGCCAGAAATAACCCAGCAAGATGATCCTTTGTGCGAGTATCCTGGACATTTGGTGGGCTGCACAAACACCCTCGTGAACTTCGGCGATCACTCTTTCCGCCTCTACCCTAGTCAAGCACCTCAGTAATGGACCACCAAATTATCTTTTGTATAGCCTTCCATCAAGAATTTCAAATCTTGGAGCCCTCAACTTCACTTTTCGTACCCTGTCCTCTTCCTCAGGAAACTGCCCGGTCATGTAGTACCTGACCAAGTCATCCATCCAAAACTCATATTGTACCGCTTGCTCTGGATTGGGTTGTCCATCCTCCTCAATCAGGCTAACAGGTAACCTTTCAATGCTGGCTTTTTCCAGCGTCTCAATCCTGGCCAGCTTTGACACATGCTCCGGGGCTGCTTGCGTACACTTCGATAGTAAGTCAGCATCGGTATTCTCCCCCCTCAGAATTTGCTCTATCACATACTCAGTCAGGTCCTTCAATAGTGCCCTTTCCAAGTGCTTGTATCTCTGCATCTTCTCTCCTTTGGCCTCCATGTTGCCATTGATGTGGCCGACCACCAAACCTAAATCGGACTTGATCCTAAGGCATGTGATTTGTAGGGTCTTGGCCAATCTCAGGCCCCCTATCACTGCCTCATACTCCGCCTCATTGTTTGTGAGTTTGAAGCTAAAAATCAAGGCATGATATACCTTGAACCCTTCCAGAGTTGTAAATACTACACCGTCACCGTAACCTTTCAGTCCAGAGGCTACATCTACCAACATGGACCAGCAAGACTCTGTGATCGCCCTCGCTGGTTCTTCTTCATGGTGACCCGTCATCTCCACAAGAAAGTCAGCCACAGCCTGGCCCTTTATCGCCGTCCTCGGGCAGTATTCGATGTTGAACTGAGTCAACATCATGGCCCATTTGATCATTCTTCCTGATGAGGTGGAGTCCCTCATGACCGTGCCCAATGGTAGGTCAGTCAACACGGCGATAGGGTGGGCCTGGAAGTAGGAGGTGAGTTTCTTTGCTGTTATGAAAAGTGCATACCCTGCCTTCTCTGTAGGAGTGTACCTACTTTCCGCTCCATTCAAAGCTTTGCTCACGTAATAGATGGGCCTCTGGACCCCATCATCCCTCATCAAGACCGAGCTAACGGCCATGTGGGTTACTCCCAAGTAGAGGTATAGGGTCTCCTGTTAGGCTCTTTTATAGTCTTTAAATTCCCTTACATTTACTAATCTTTGGGTCACCATTAGTGAGAATTTGATTTAATTTAAGATCAAGAAAGAACGTTGACCATCCTAGAGGTTAGAGTGCTATTCTTGTGTTATTTTAGGTCCTTTGGGTTAAATGTTAGAATCGGGCTAGACGACCCGAAGTGAAAATAACCAACCCGGCCCATTAGTTACTATAAGACTTAGGGCGTTGCTAAGAGAGGGGAGTTACGTGAGAGGAGAAAGGAACGAGAGAGAGAGAAGGTGAGATCGAAGGTTCACCGGGAGAAAAAAATTTTGGCGACCAGGCATAATCCAGCGAGTTAGACCTCGCGATCATCATCAACCGTCGCACAATTACCAAGCGCTTCTCCTGATCAGGCAGTGTAGCCGAACAGAGGAGTCATCACGTTCGCAGGATTTGATCCTCGAACGCTGTCCAGAGGTACTTCGTTGTTTTTGTTTCCAAATTCGAGATACAGTCTTGATGTTTGAGGATTGTTTGAATTGTTGACTCATAATTGAACGTGTGATTTCATGCTATTCAAATCCGAGTCCTAATCTCTTATTTGGACAATATTTTCCTGTGATCATGTGTTTAAATTGTGAATTGATTATCACGATCATGTCCCGAGAGTAATCCCTCTCTAGTCTGGTGGAAATTTAGGATCAGTCTCAGGCATTTGTGATCATTGCTTTGATTTGTGGTTTAGACAATTGTTGAAGGTTGTTTAATCCTGTTTTGTGCTCAGCTTCTCAAAATTGTTGATTGTAGGTCTCATGCCTCAATTATTCAGTCTGAAATTCTTATTTGGGGTCCAACAACTGGCATATAGTGTATTTGGTTGTCCAAGTATATTGTATGTTCAAAAGGTTTTTTTTATATAACTGAATTCACGCTTATGTTAATTTGCATCAGGCTCATCCTGATGTTATTAACGTACGTACAGGTCCTTAGGCAGTGCTCATCTCTCTTAAGGACTGATTTTTGAGGTGGAGATTTAGCTTCTGGCTGAGAGAGCTAAATCCCCTTTTGTTCAACAACTTGTTTAACTGAGAATCTGATTTTTTTACTTTGATCTCAGCAACTGTTCCTAATTGAAAGGTAACCATGCAAGGATAGGCAGCGGAATATAAAAATTTTAATATCCTAACATGATTATCTTGCCCAGAATTACGTACTAAAACTTATAGTAGTAAGAAATTTGTACCTTTCTCCGTAAGCGGTAAAAACGAAGAAGTCGTAGGAAGAGCGTTGAAATTGCAAACGTAACCTTTCAAGCGTCCGGTCTCCAACTTTGACACACGAACAACGCCGGAGTCTACCACAATCTTTATGCTAGTAAAGATTATAGTAGTATAAAATATAAAGATTAAAATTTGGGATAATAATAATCTTGTATATTTCTATAGAAAATATTTCTAATAATATTTAGAAAATATTATTGATATTTTCTATACATAAAATGATATTAATGGAACCAAAATAATATTTTTCTCTCTCTTAAAATGGTATGGCCGAAAATCCTTTTGAAAAATCCCATAGTTAGCTAATGATTTGTGTTGGTTTAAATAAAGTATGATTAGTAATTGATTTTGTCATTAGCTAATATGACAAATCAATTTAGCCAGTCAAGAATCAATCAAGACATAATTTTGATTCATTAAATCCTCATATGGCCGAATGATGATTTTGAGAAGGATTTTCAAAATTCTTCTCCACTTAAATGTTCAAAGTGTATTTTATTTGACACCAAAAGTTAATATAAAAATTAATTTTAAATCAAATAAAATACCAATATCATTTTTAAACAAGTATACAAATATACTTTAAATAGTTTATGTCAAAATAATTATTTTCATAATTAAAATGACAAACCAAAATAAAATATTCAACATATAATATATATATATATATTAATCGGTACATATATATAATATATATAACCGAATATTTATATATATAATATTATATTCCAAAATATTTTATTTTACTATTTTCTACAAATATACAAATTACTTATTATCCCATTGTTTAATCCTACTCCTTAAATTGTCCAAAGTGTGTGACCCGTATAGGCACTTATAAAGCTGGCGATGGTATTGGCTCTGCAAGAAAGTTGGTCCCGGTCAAGAAAGTTGGTCCCGGATAACTTGTTGTTTTCCAGGATGTAACGCAGGTTGAAAGGGTTGATGTTGTTTTCCATCTATAGAAAATTTTGAAAACTAGGTTATCTATCATGTTTAATAATTAATTAGGCATTTAATTAATTATCTCCCACTATTTTTAACAAATCAATAACCCTCGATATTGATCCGGAGATTTCCGGTGAAACCTCTAGTGGGCCAAGATCCATATTTCATTATCTTGCGTTCCGCTAGGGCGTTACTCCACAAGACAACTATTTAGGTAGGAACATAGTTCCAACTCATGAGCCAGGCTCTCAGCTCTTGGTCTGGTGTTGGGCGAATAATATTACTACAATCGGACCAGGACACCTTTTCACCATACTTGTAATTTGCTGAGGCACGTCTTACAAGCAGACTACTTTGGTTAGGAACAGAGTTCCAATTAAATCATAAAGATCCAACTCCTGGCTGGATGAATGACTAAAATCATCCGACTTGTCATTGATGACCCCAACTTACTGCCTTTGAGTCGTCCATCCATTTGACCGAGACTCAGTTAAGTCTAACCCAACGTGCGACAACGACCACGCTATGGCGGTTCCCGTAACCAGCTTAACATACACCGTACTATGCTCTGCTGAGGCTGAGTACATGACAGTGTACATTTGCTGGATAGGTGCCGGGCGTCAGAAGGCAACAGACTTAATATTCGTGAGGGATTTATAATTTCGATCTCACCTATCGACATGGCCGCACACATGTCCATTACTAGCGTTCAACATACATTCAACATGCATTCACAAAACGCAGTAAATAAACGTGTAATGATTGTGGCCCCAAAAAGAAAAATAAAACGATAGCTCCCACTGGCTTCTGGGCACTTGGACTTCGGGCTATCTCCATTCTTTTAGATTTCTTCAAACGGTCTTCAAATCTTTTCGTCTTCAAACCACCACGTGAGAAAAGAATCCTCGGTTGAGGTAAGAGAGAGAGAAATAGATTTACAACAAGAGTTTATGAGATAAGGCACGACACGTAGGCCGTATTATAATCAAATAAACTATAGCCACAATCATCCACCATGCATATCATACATCCACACAAGCAATAGAGATATACATACACCGGGTGAACCGCGCTCACCCCAGACAGTTCTAGAAAAATGCTACGGGAGTAAATATTTTCTAAAACTCATAAAATTAAATTAGATGTCCAAATAAATCTAATAAAATTTTATAA